GGGCGCAGCCATGGGAACGAGGGGCTGTGGGGCACCTGCGTTGCCCCCTGCCCGCCATTCCCTGCCCTGTGCTGTTGGCAGTGCCCGGAGCTGGGAGCAGCCTCTGGCCCATCACTGCCGGACCAAGCACTCAGGCCGTGCCCACAGCACTTTACGGAGCCTCATGTGTCTCCCCCATCCCTCGTAAAACCGAGCGAGTCTGGCAGAGAGCAGCAGGGCCGGATCCAGGCGGGCAGGGCAGGGCTCTGGGGTGCCATTCCCGGTGCCCATTTGCTTCCACTGCCTCCATTCCCCGCCTGGCTGTGCGTGCTCGGGGCTGCTGCGGGTGCTGCACCGCCCTTTCCTGGATCCCTGCTGGTGGGGGTGGGCAGGGGTAATTCCCATCTCCAGACACGGTGTTAGTGCTGAGCTTCATCTTTGTGATGAGCAGGGTTTCATTTACACGAGCAGCTCCCTCCAGATCCCAGTGCTGAGGGTGGGTGCAGCTGAGTCCCCGTGATAAGGATGGTGCCACGAGGGGCTGTGCCCACTGATCCCAGGGATCCACACACTGGGAACCATCAGGCCCATCCTGGGGAGCCATCAGGCCCATCCTGTGCCCACTGAACCCACAGAACCACACACTGGGAACCATCAGGCCCATCCTGTGCCCACTGATCCCAGGGTTCCACACAGTATGGAGCCATCAGACCCATCCTGGTTTGGGGTTTATGGGTGGGCAGGGGTGCCTGGATGGTTGGCACTTGGGCACATTTGGGGTGGGGAGAAAAGGCCCTGGAATTCTGGAGGGAGCCCAGAGGAGAGTGGGGAGCAGTGTGGCAGTGTGCCAGCTGGATGCCAGTTTATGAACCGTGTTGGGAAAACAAGCTCAGGGGAGCCAAGGAATGTGGAGAATTTCATGGGCCGGTGGTTCCTGTTGCAGGTTACCTGCACTGCCAGGTGTCACCAGCCACACTGCCCGTGCCACCAGCTGTGCCCGGCACCTTCCCACCGGGATTTGGGATGGGGATAGCCCAGCTCCAGATGTGACCTGGGCTCCCAGTTCCATGGGGCTGTGGGTCTACATCTGGCTCTGCAGTGG